AGCTGCACTAGAGAAGGCAACGAGTGTTATCACTATTTTTATTACAAATATACTAATTTGCTCATCTCAAACAAGCCTATTATCTGACTGAATCTCTGACTGATTCGCTGACTGAATCTCTGAGTGAATCTCTGACTGATTCTCTGAATGATTCTCTGACTGAATCTCTGAATGATTCTCTGACTGATTCTCTGACTGAATCTCTGAATAATTCTCTGACTGTGAATCTCGGACTGAATCTCTGAATAATTCTCTGACTGAATCTCTGACTGATTCTCTGAATGATTATCTGACTGAATCTCTGACTGATTCTCTGACTGAATCTCTGAATGATTATCTGACTGATTCTCTGACTGATTCTCTGACTGAATCTCTGAATGATTATCTGACTGATTCTCTGACTGAATCTCTGACTGATTCTCTGACTGAATCTCTGAATGATTATCTGACTGATTCTCTGACTGAATCTCTGAATGATTCTCTGACTGAATCTCTGAATGACACTTTTCTAACCGGCATGCATCTCGCGGTGATCGGTTCTGCGCAGATTTTGCTCATCTCAAACAAGCCTACTATGTCAGAGACACGCTAGCTTTCCCAAGGCCCACACACTGGCCCAGCTAACCAATCACAACACACGCTGGCCCAGCTAACCAATCACAACACACACTGGCCCAGCTAACCAATCTCAGCACATTTCGTATTTCAGAAGGCGGGCCTTCATCTGATACAGGAACTATTCGAGCCGTTCATGCCAGACTGGGTAGAGAGGTGTTGTAATGTAAAATATGTGAAAAATAATGTGTTTTTTGAACAATCTAGTATGAGAGCCTGTTATAGTACACCCCAAACAAAATCAAGACTTTGTAAAAGAGCATAATAGGGCCACTTTAAAGAGGCTGAAGCAGCGCTTGGTCTCATCTCAGACTCGCTGACGTCTCACACCGTGACCTTTGACCCGTCTCACGTGACCCCTGCCCTTTCCCTGGAGCCCACACGTATGTTTGTGTTTTTCTGTGGGCTGTGATTTATACTGATGCGCGTCCCATTCCTCAGGCCTGTCAGAGCTCATCTCGCGCTCGGGCTTGTTTTGACCAATCACAGCGCAGGCAGCTCTGGCCACGCCCTCATGAGCCGCGTGTAAACACAGGTCGTGCAGGAGCTCATGATCACAGTCTGCACTCATGCGCTTCATCGCTGCTTCAATCTGCTGTAAACAATGCCTTCAGGTCTTTGATGCTGGGAATGCACAACATGGTTTTCCCAGCATTCCTGCGGCGTGTGCTAGTTCAGTCTAATGTTAGCTGTAATGTTCACAGCTCTGAATCTATATAGAAAATTGTGTTTATTTATTTTTTTGCACAGTTCTGTTGCTAATCATGAATGCTACAACATCTGCTACAATACAACATCTGCATCAATGCTACAATATATATATTTATATATTTATGCTTTGCTAAAGATTTACATGCAAATAGACTTGCAAAGAGGCAGAACATTTCTGGTAAATTTCCAGAAACTTTTTAGGAAACTTTCAGAAAAGTTTCCAGAAATTTCCCCAAGATTTCTCTGCCGCTTTCCAACCCTAACTGCGAGTAAGCAACTTTAAACATTCATATATGTATAATTTTTTTATTTTTTATTGCGCAATTCCATTGCTAACTTTTTAATTGCAAATTAGCAACTTTAAATGCTATAAAACATTAATATGTGTGAGTGTGTGTATATAAATAATTTTTTGCATGATTTCATTGCTAATCATTTAACTGCAAATTAGCAATTTTAAATGCTTCAAAACAATCCCATAATTTTATTTATTATTTTTGCGCAGTTTCGTTACTAATTGTTTAATTGCAAATTAGCAACCTTACACACACGTGTATATATATATATACTGTATATATACATATGTGCATGTGTGCAATTTTATGTTTGTTTGTTTTTTTTGCACTAAGCATTTTGTTGCTAACCATTTAATTGCGAATTAGCACCTTTGAATGCTAAAAACATGTATTTATTTTTGATCGTGACAGCTGCTGCTCAAATGAAGCGTGTTGATTCCCTGCACGCAGACGGTTGTTAGTGATCTCTCTGGCGCAGCATGAATCATGATTGTGGGCGCTTACAGATTACACTGTAAGCGCGGCTGTTGTATAAGGCAGTGACTCAGCAGCGCTGGGATTATGAGCACTTCCTAATAATAACCTGAATGGCTCTGTGAGCGGCTCAGAGACGGTGATGAGATGCAGGCCTCAGGACACACGGCGAACCCAACACTGCTGCAGCGCTTGTTTTCCTCCAGCACAGCACACTCTCTTACTGCAGTGATGCATTCAATATCCCTGATATATATATATATAGATATGGTGCAGTGTTATACTATACTATTATAGTTTTTATTTATATTTTGAGTTTTTGATTTATTTTCCAGATTTCCTTTCGATTTTAGTTATTTTTAATTTTTTAGTAATTTTGTTGTGTTTTGTAATTTTTGTCTGTGTAGTTTTTATTATTATTTTTACATTTCAGTTTCAGTTACTTTATTTCATGTTAAACTAAATAAAAATAGAATTGTTGACTTTTTAATATTTTTTAATATTAGTTTTATATAAGTTTTTTTATATTTTATTTTATTTTAGTTAAAGTTTATTTTATTTCAAGTAAAGATTTTTTTTAATAGTTTTAGTAAAGTATAATAACCCTGATTTGGCGATTTTAACTTAAGCAAAAACAAAATTTGGGTGATTAATGTGCTGTTTATTTGTTCATTAAGTTTAATAAAGATAGTTCCATTATTTTTTTAATGATTTAAACTTCAATATCAAAAACAGGTTAGTAATTCTGTGAATCAATTCAAAGCTGTAATACAGCGATTCGTTTGCGTTATAACTTTAAAATGTTTATTGAAGTCTGTGTGACATTTTTATTAATTACTATGTTTTAGTTTTTTCCTTTTTTTTTTTTTTGGGACCAGATCGGTGGGCTTTCAGTTTTATTGGAAAATCTACTAAATAAAATATAAGAAAAGTGTTTTGGTAAAAATATAAATAGCTACATTTTCCCATAAAATATGTTCAGACATGATTCTTCCTTTCATTAATTTAATGAAAAACTGTGAAACTTGCCTTGATTATTTAAAAACCACATTTTTTCCAATTTGTTTTACTTCTTTCTTTAATGATTTTGAATCTTTTAAAATGACTATTTGGTTGAAATGCAGTGGGAAAAAATTACACTTTAAGCCTATTTCCAGAGAAAATAAAAAAAATATTCTAATTTATATTAAATCTACTAAATAAAATATGAAAATAAAAAAGTTAATTAAATATAAAACAATACATAAATGTAAAAATGTTTTGGTATAAATATAAATGGGTAAATATTGCTGTTCCATGCTATATAAGTACATATGAATATAAATGTTCAAATGTGATTCTTCCTTTCATACATTTAATGAAAAACATTGTAATAACTTGCCATGATTATTTAAAACTAAATTTTTACTGTATTTTGCTTCTTCCTTTAATGATTTTTACAATCACTGTTTGGTTGAAATAGAGTAAACAATGTACGCTTTTAAGCCGATTTTCATTTCAAAATACATAAATATCCAGATTTATATCAAATATCCTCAAAAGGCTGAAAAATATTGCAATTTTACGTTGTGTTTTCAAGCCCAGTCCGAGCTAAAAAGTGCTGAAATTTGTACTGGTGACTGATGTATGTTAAACTTCAGTGTCCTTGTTTCTCTCTGTGTCTCAGGTCAGCTCAGCTGCATCTCGCTCCCGCGTCACGAGGAGGACTATCTGCAGAATGTGGTCGGTAGCGCCCCCTACATCCTCATCCTGGGCCAGGACTGTTCGGCCCGATACCAGCTGCTCAACTGCCTGCTGGGAGAGAGGCTCCTCCCCCTGGGCTCGGAAGTGGGCGGGGCCTGCGGGCCGGAGGGCGGGGCCTGCAGGAGGAGGAAGCTGTGCTTCACGCACGGCCGTCAGACGCGCTTGAGCCTGGCGCTGCCGGGGCAGTATGAGCTGGTGCATCAGCTGGCGGCTCACTGCGGACGCTGGGACACGGTGCCATGCGAGGATCTGGAGATCCAGGAGTGCGAGGACCCCGCGCAGCGATTGGCCGAGCTGGAGATCACGCTCCATCTCGCCCTGCTGCAGGTCAGGGGTGGCGGGGCTCGCATCGTTTCTCTCAAAAACAAAAACAAATGGGATTTGATTCTGTGAGATGAGTTTGTTTTTGCAGGAACATCAATCGGTTTCTCTTCTCTCCTTTCCTGGTGTTTATGTAACCCTGCTCTGTGGGTCTGGTGCACTTCACATGACCACCAGTGAAAAAAAGGGCACTGGTTGCTGCTATGATGATGTGTGCGTCTCCATGGCGACGGGAAAACTGTATCCCGGGAGCCTCCTATAAATACTTGGATTCAGTCACGGCTGGATTCCTTTCTTTCATTAGTTTGTTTGTTTTTATGACTGAAAAGAGTTTGAATTGGGCTCAGTGTTTGGACCGGTTCAGATCTCTTAGATCAGACTCAAATTAGACTCTGATTCTGATTAGTCTAATCAAACTCTAAACAAACGCTTTCAAACTCTGGTCAGTTTTAGTTCAGTGTCATAATAGACTCAGATCAGATCTATTTTAAATTTGGATGAGACTACAAATAAGTCAAACCAAGCTCTTGAATCGGTTTCAAATCTGAATCAGATCAGTCACAAATCAGACTCAGCCGTGGATCAGATTGGATCAGATTCTGATCAGCCTAAAGCACTCAGTCTGCTATCAAAATCAAATCGGAGTCAAATCAGTTTTGCGTCAGACTTATTAGGTCTTGGATCAGATGCAAATCAGGCTTCAGTTTGTCTAAGATTAGTGTCAAATCAGACTTAGATCAGTGTGAGATCAGACTCTCCGACTCAGATTGGTTTCAGATCTATCTTGTTTTAATTTGTCTTGAATCAGACTAGGCCTTGGATAGAACTCAAATCAGAGTCAAATCAGTTTCTCGTCAGACTCATTAAAGTCTTAGATAGGTTGCAAATCAGACAGTTTTAGATCTGTTACAAATCAGACTCCCGTTAGTCTAAAAACACTCAGATCAGTCTGGTATCAAACTTTCAAATGTCAAATCATAGATTAAACTCTGATCCTGCTCAGATTAGTTTCAGATCTATCTTGAATCAGGCTCTGATGCAGGTCAGACATCGGTCAAGTCAAATCAGTTCCAAATCAGACTCCATCAGGTCTAAAACACTTTAGTCTGATATCACACTCTGATCAGTTACAGATCAGTCAAATCAGACTCAGATCAGTGGGAGATCAGACTCAAATTGGTTTCAGATCAGTCTTGAATCAGACTCAACCTCAAATGGGCCTTAAATCAGAGTCGGACCAGTTTTGCGTCAGACTCATTAAGGTCTGGATTTGGTTGCAAATCAGACTCGGATCACTTTAGTCAAAGTCAGATCAGCTTCAAATCAGACTCAGATCACTTTAGACTAAATCAGATCAGCCTCAAATCAGACTCGGATCACTTTAGACTAAGTCAGATCAGCCTCAAAGCAGACTCCGATCACTTTAGTCTAAGTCAGATCAGACTCGGATCACTTTAGTCTAAATCAGATCAGACTCAGATCACTTTAGTCTAAGTCAGATCAGCCTCAAATCAGACTCAGATCACTTTAGTCTAAGTCAGATCAGCCTCAAATCAGACTCGGATCACTTTAGTCTAAGTCAGATCAGCCTCAAATCAGACTCGGGTCACTTTAGTCTAAGTCAAATCAGACTCAGATCACTTTAGACTAAATCAAATCAGCCTCAAATCAGACTCAGACCACTTTAGTCTAAGTCAGATCAGCTTCAAATCAGACTCAGATCACTTTAGACTAAATCAAATCAGCCTCAAATCAGACTCAGACCACTTTAGTCTAAGTCAGATCAGCTTCAAATCAGACTCAGATCACTTTAGACTAAATCAAATCAGCCTCAAATCAGACTCAGACCACTTTAGTCTAAGTCAGATCAGCTTCAAATCAGACTCAGATCACTTTAGACTAAATCAAATCAGCCTCAAATCAGACTCAGACCACTTTAGTCTAAGTCAGATCAGCTTCAAATCAGACTCAGATCACTTTAGACTAAATCAAATCAGCCTCAAATCAGACTCAGACCACTTTAGTCTAAGTCAGATCAGCTTCAAATCAGACTCTGACACTTTAGTCTAAGTCAGATCAGCCTCAAATCAGGCTCGGATCACTTTAG